GTCATTATTCTCAGAATATAGATCAAATTTTTGTCATTATTCTCAGAATATAGATCAAACTTTGGTCATTATTCTCAGAATAAAGATCAAACTTTGGTCATTATTCTCAGAATATAGATCAAACTTTGGTCATTATTCTCAGAATATAGATCAAACTTTGGTCATTATTCTCAGAATATAGATCAAACTTTGGTCATTATTCCCAGAATAAAGATCAAACTTTGGTCATTATTCCCAGAATAAAGATCAAACTTTGGTCATTATTCTCAGAATATAGATCAAACTTTGGTCATTATTCTCAGAATATAGATCAAACTTTGGTCATTATTCTCAGAATATAGATCAAATTTTGGTCTTTATTCCCAGAATATAGATCAAACTTTGGTCTGTATTCCAAGAATATAGATCAAACTTTGGTCATTATTCTCAGAATATAGATCAAACTTTGGTCATTATTCCCAGAATAAAGATCAAACTTTGGTCATTATTCTAAGAATATAGATCAAACTTTGGTCATTATTCCCAGAATAAAGATCAAACTTTGGTCATTATTCTCAGAATGTAGATCAAACTTTGATCATTATTCTCAGAATATAGATCAAATTTTGGTCATTATTCTCAGAATATAGATCAAACTTTGGTCATTATTCTCAGAATATAGATCAAACTTTGGTCATTATTCCCAGAATAAAGATCAAACTTTGGTCATTATTCTCAGAATATAGATCAAACTTTGGTCATTATTCTCAGAATATAGATCAAACTTTGGTCATTATTCCCAGAATAAAGATCAAACTTTGGTCATTATTCCCAGAATAAAGATCAAACTTTGGTCATTATTCCCAGAATAAAGATCAAACTTTGGTCATTATTCTCAGAATATAGATCAAACTTTGGTCATTATTCCCAGAATAATGATCAAACTTTGGTCATTATTCTCAGAATATAGATCAAATTTTGGTCATTATTCTCAGAATATAGATCAAACTTTGGTCATTATTCTTAGAATAAAGATCAAACTTTGGTCATTATTCCCAGAATAAAGATCAAACTTTGGTCATTATTCCCAGAATAAAGATCAAACTTTGGTCATTATTCTCAGAATAAAGATCAAACTTTGGTTATTATTCTCAGAATATAGATCAAATTTTGGTCATTATTCTCAGAATATAGATCAAACTTTGGTAATTATTCTTAGAATAAAGATCAAACTTTGGTCATTATTCTCAGAATATAGATCAAACTTTGGTCATTATTCTCAGAATATAGATCAAACTTTGGTCATTATTCTCAGAATATAGATCAAACTTTGGTCATTATTCCCAGAATAAAGATCAAACTTTGGTCATTATTCTCAGAATATAGATCAAATTTTGGTCTTTATTCCCAGAATATAGATCAAACTTTGGTCTGTATTCCAAGAATATAGATCAAACTTTGGTCCTTATTCTCAGAATATAGATCAAACTTTGGTCTTTATTTCCAGAATAAAGATCAAACTTTGGTCATTATTCTCAGAATATAGATCAAATTTTGGTCTTTATTCCCAGAATATAGATCAAACTTTGGTCTGTATTCCAAGAATAAAGATTTAACTTTGGTCATTATTCCCAGAATATAGATCAAACTTTGGTCTTTATTTCCAGAATAAAGATCAAACTTTGGTCATTATTCTCAGAATATAGATCAAATTTTGGTCTTTATTCCCAGAATATAGATCAAACTTAAAATTGGGATAGTATCTTTTTTATTGCGTTTTTCAGCAATCACCCACCCTAAAAACTATAGAAATAATTCCCATATTTCATGGATGTACAAAAAAATTTTGTGACATAAATGAAGCAGAAAGTTGAGTCGCAGAAGGAAAATCCGTCTTTTCCGCCTTTTTAATTCCACGAACACTTTTTATATCTGCCCAGGGAAAGTTCCGAGGGCGGAAAGCAATGTACATTTTCATCTGATCAATTCTTGCTCTGCTGCGTGTGTTTGTCGCTCTCGTCTCATTTCCATTGAAATCGCGTCGCGCACACAGAAGGGGCTGCTGCGAATTTCGCAGCCGCTTTCCTTCAGCGAAATTTAACGGGTGAGAAATTTTATGGATTTATTCTCGCTCGCTCGAGTCTCTCTCTTTTTAGTGTGCCCAGTCAAGAGGAAAGCGGCAGCTCCTTTTTGCCTCTCTCGCGTCTTTTCTCAAAGTGAAGCGCTTTGGCCGCGCTCGAGTGCGCGCGTGTGTGTTTTAACGTGCTTTCGTAATCGGTTTTTGATTGGGCTTGGATTGAAAGAAAATGGAGCCGCTCTGAATTTAATCATGGAGAAATGAGCGCCTCTTTGAAGGGAAAAGGAAAGACGCCGCATCCTTTGTCAAGTTTCTTCGAGTTGAAAATTGAACTCTTATTGCTCTGAAATTGCAGATATTGGAAAAGGTTCTTAAAATAAATATGTAAATAAATTTATAATTATTATAATTTGACTCATTTTAAATTTGTTTGTAATAATATATAGTTAAAATTGATTGTAAATTAAAATTTTCCAATTTTGAAATTTCTTATAAAATTGTTTCTCTATCCACTTATAAATATAATTTTGGTTTATTTTTTTTTAAATTTGACAGAAAATTAATACAATTAATGAAAAATGTTCTGCACAGTTGAATCCAGTATTGTGGTTAAAATTTACAATTTTTCCCCATAGTAATTTCAAAACATTTTAAGCTGCTGCCGATAATTTTAATTTTCCTTAAATATTGGCAATTAAATTTGTTATGATTTATCAAAATCATCAAATTATTTTAATAATTTTGACAATAAAATGTAGTTAATCTCTTAGGAATTAAAATAACAATATATAATGACAGATCAAATATTCTTTGATTTTTTTTTATTACCAAATAAATTGAATAAATGAAGAAGCATTTAATTTTACTTTCCACATTAAATAGAGTTGTTTAAAATTAAAATAATTAAAATATTTTAATAAACAGAATAAATTTTCAGTTCTTGTTATCTTGGACTCGTATATGCCAATTATTACGTCGCAACGTCAGAAGCTGCAAACTCAGAAAGTAAGAAAGCTTTTGCCACTGATTGGCCTCGCGTCCGTTTCCGCGGAAATTGAGTGCGCCGGTCGTCGTGTCCGCCGCGGCGAGTGCACCACCTATGGCTATTTATTTAGAGGCGGAACATGGATGGGAAAAGGCGCGGCTGGTCGCTCGCTCAAGTGGAGCACATAAGCCGCTCTCTCTCGCAACCCCCGGAACATTTCTGTCAGGTCAACGCCGGGGGCTGTTACTTTGCAACCTCCTTATTCCGTGTAATCCGCTTTGCCGAATAAAAGCTATAAATTTGGCCCGGCGGCGAATTCCCAAAATCCAGTCTCGTTGGGCACCAGGGCACCGCCCATCAGCTTTGCCGCCGCGCTTTCAAAATTTTCGCCTCGATCTCGCTCACCTCAATCACCATGTGAGTCAAGCTCACTACTTTTGCAGCAGTAATACTTGATTTTCCTTCATAATAATCACAATTTCTCACTGTCATAATTTTTAACAATCAATTAATGTAAATATATAATTATTATAAATGTTAAAAGGCAAACAGAAAATAAATCGACTTCTATTGGTTGTGAATATGCACTATTTGTTGCACATTAACTTTGGCCTAGGTGCATAATAAATAAAAACAATGACAATGGCAGCCGTGAAAAGTCCTGTTAAAAATGTTTTTCCGACAGAATTCCACACTGTCTGTGTGGAATATTCTGAAAATTCCACCGTTTTGAGGGCCAATTTATCATCAGTGGATGAGATTGACGAGTGGGTCAAAGAATTTTCAAAAATTTCTAGAAGCTGTTGGATCGTCGAATACTGTTACGAAGAAATGGAAAGGTTTTTTTATATCTCATTAAAATAAGTACTCAATTAATTAAATAAAAATACAATCCCTCTATAGGTACCATACTCATAAAAGGTTTCACTGCCACCTTAGCAAATTGAACAAAAAAGTTGATTCGAAGCGAACAACAAATTGCAAAGTGACACTGGATATTAAAATCAAGCTGGTGGGTGTAATTAATGATTTTTCATTGATTATTATGGTTTTAAACCCCATAAGTATAATTTTTAATGAAAACTATTATTAATTAAAGAATTTCAAGAATTTAAAGTATCAGTACAAACAAACAAACAATAATGGACCAATCTTTTTACAACATAGATTACAAGAGACACCAAAAAAAAGGATAAATATCTCAGACCTGACAAGCATGGTATTGTCCGTCAAGCTGTGATCAAATTTGAAGGCGTGCACAATCATCACATCTTAAGTGCGGACACACTTCGATTAAATCGAGTAGATCCATCGACTGCCGCTCTGTTCGACAAATATTTTGACGATGGGAGTACAGCTGCTCAAGCAAGGAAACGTCACGAAGACTTACTTATCAGCAATGACGATTTTGTGAATCTTGCTGATGCTAATATTAACCCTACCAAAAGAACTGTCTCCTATTTGTTTGACAAATGGTCAAATAAGCAATTTGGTGTAAAATCTTTAACACCAATTGAAAAGACTCAAGAAAAAATTGCTTCTGGAGATTACATTTCAAGAGGTAGTTTGAAAATTGAATTTTTCCTAAAATGCAATACATTAAAATCTTAAAAACTTTAGATGTTCTTGTTAAGACTTCAATGGAGGATGGCGAGTGGTGCATCCTCATTGTGACACCCTTGATGAAAAGGGTGCAAGAACTGCCGCACTCTGGTGAAACACTCTTCCTTGATTCAACCTCACATGTTGATGTGACTCACTGCACCTTTACATCAATGTGCTCTGCCACAAAAGCTGGTGCAATGCCACTCTGCATTTTGCTGCAAAGCCACCAGACTCAGACTTGCTATGAGATGGCCTTTAACTTGTACAAGAGAGAATGTCCAAAAGGATTTGGTGGCTCTGAGGTAAAACTGAATAGCATTATCCTTAGCATTAACCTCCAATTAATCACAAACATTTTATATTCCCTACCAACAATAAATTCCAATATTTATTAAATTAAAACAGAGTTTTAAAAAAATCTTACTCAGAGACTACTTCATAATCCAATAATAAAATTAAAAAAAAACATACATTTCTAAATGAAAATGTACTTCATTTTTAGGCGCCTAGTGTCGTAATGACAGATGACAGTTCTGCGGAACGAAAGGCGGTTGAGTCGGTGTGGCCAACAGCACGTAGGTTGCTATGTGTGTTTCACGTACTCTCGGCGGAGTGGAAGTGGCTCCTTTCCAACTGCAATAAAAATGATAGGCAGAAATTAATGAATCTATATTACAAGGTTAATATTTACGTGCAGAAAGTAAAAATATAAATGATTAATCTAATTTTGTGAAATTCATATTATAGGCTGTCTATGCTAACACATTGGAGGAATTTGAAAGTGCTTCGGAGAGCATTTTAGCTCAAAATGAGGCGCATCCTAAGTATGTGAAACGCTTTCAAAAGTTTGCAAAACGAGTGGAAGAGTGGGCTATCTATGCACGAGTTGGTGCTATGAATAGAGGCAATGATACCAACAACTTTGCTGAGACTAGTATTAAAATTGCTAAAGAGGCTGTCATGCAAAGAATGAAAGTAAGAAAGAAAGAAATATTTTCAGATAAATTGTTACATAAAATTGTAAATAAAAAATAGGCTTATAACCCTGTGGCTCTGATCGAGTTTGTTATCGGACCGATGGATGACTATTACAAGAGACGATTGCTTGACCATGCACACAACCGACATTCGGCACATTCACTGGTTTTCGACAAGATGCTTAAGCGAGCTTCGTCCATTGACCCCAACAAGATCATCAAAATTGACGAAAACCTTTACAGCGTGCCAAGTTCAATCTCAGCTGGTAATAAAAATATTGATTTTAAATTATAATTAATTAGAAAATAATCTTCAGTTTAATTCTATAAGGCCCTAATTTCCATATACATAATTCATGACACTAAAATTTATTTGATTTCATAGCATACATATTTGATTTGATTTAATTGAATGAATGTGAAATTTCCAGAGACGTTTTATGAAGTCAGAACAGACAGTGGATTTTGCTCCTGCAAATCTGGGGAGAGGGGAGCTTTTTGTAAGCATATGGCTTTGCTTGTGAAGTATAAAAAGGCAGCAATTCCCTCAGCTCCACCACTCCTCAGTTCTGACCGAAAACTTCTAGCCAAAGTGGCCCTTGGCGACAAAACCCTGCCGACTAGCTTCTACTTAGGGCGAACTGAGGTTGCGTCACCTACTAGCTCTCCACAAAAAGGTTAATAAAATAAAATTAAAATTTTACATCTCATAATTAACTATAATTAAAATGTGATTTAAAACTTGTGCAGCATGAATGTATAATTTTTTTTGTTAAAATTATGAAATTATTTTAGGAAATCAATGCAATAGCCATGACGAAGCATCTGGTGACAATGAAGATGAGTTTTTTTACAATAATGAGATGGAAGTTGCTACAGAGACAGATGAAAATGTCTTTGATGAAGCCGACAGGGCCGAAAAGAGGAAGCAGCTGGAGAACGATTTCAGCGACTTCCTCGACTTAGCTTTGGTTAATATTTCACCTGAACTTGTTGAAAAGATGGGAAAGGCACTCCGAAAGCCAAAAACTACTCCAGCTGCTCAAGCTGCTTTGGTGGCTTTTTACAGAGCTGTCAACTCTGTGCTGTCCAAGAAGGGTCGCACTGGTGTTAATCCATCTGGTCGAGCAAGGCGTCGAGTAGGAGTATCCAAGGGAGCAGCTCAAATCGCAAGTGGTCGACCTCCGAAGTCTCAGTCGGATAACAATGGTCCTAAAAAAAGAAAAAGAGATCTCAGTCAGGCTGTCAAGGACAACTGTGCTAATGCAAAATCGCATTAAATAGTCATATGCATCACTTGATGTTATTCCTATGTGCTCATTTCCTGATTATCAATAAGATAAATATGAAGTATAAATAAAAAAAATAAAATTTGACGAGTATTTTTCTTTTATTTTAATGTGCTCCTTTTGTATTAAATATGTTTAAATATAATTATTCCTTGAATTTAGTTTTAAAGGATGCACAATAAATAATGTATAATTAAGAACAGTGCTTACTTTTTTACTGTGTTGGTGATTTTAAATTCTCAATCAAAACGTCTTCTTTTCACAAAATAAATCTACAAACTTCACTTGTGAGGTCTCCGTTCTCGAAATAACTGAAATTACACATTATCACAACTAACAACGTAATTAAAACACGTGAAATTTGCACTACCTATAGTTAAATCACTTGAAAATAAATTCTAAAAAGTCACAACATAACAATTATATATTTACTCCATTTACCAACTCCAAACAAAGTACACACCCACCACACTCAAGTTCAGCGTGACGCGTGACTACTTGAATCACATCAAAATCCTTTTAAAGAACTAGGATAAAATTGTTTCACTAATACATATTTATATAACATATCATTTCTTATGAAAGCCAGAAATTGTGATTATTATGAAGGAAAATCAAGTATTACTGCTGCAAAAGTAGTGAGCTTGACTCACATGGTGATTGAGGTGAGCGAGATCGAGGCGAAAATTTTGAAAGCGCGGCGGCAAAGCTGATGGGCGGTGCCCTGGTGCCCAACGAGACTGGATTTTGGGAATTCGCGGCCCGGCGCCGACGGACAGGCACGCAAGGGCCAAAATCGACGACCGCAAAAAGAAGAAGAAACGAAGCACCGAATAAATAATTTAAAAACTTGCAGCGTGGAAAATATTCAGCAAAATAATCTATTACTTTTTATTTTGCAAAATAAATCAAGCTAAGAAATAGAATATAGTTTATTTTTCTATTATTTTTTACATTATGAAGTTGCTGTCGTTATTTTAAATTCAAGTTAATTAGTTTGAAATTTTCTACAGATTCTATAATTGACGAAATTTAAGATAATTAAATTATAAATTATGTAATCATAATTAGCATAATTATGTTACTTTTTCCTATCCCTCTGGTCAGAATGATACGGCAAAATTTTCAATCAATTACATTTTTTTAATTTAAAAAAAATCATTTTTAGCGGTCAAAAATTAAAAATTTAAGATTGAGTAAAGAAAATTGGGTAATCTTACAAGAGGCGCGACCTATACACCAGTATTTAAAAATTAGGTTGGTATGTCGCGCCTGCTGTAGTGGTTTTATGTCGCGCCTACTGAAGTGGTTTTATGTCGCGCCTACTGTAGTGGTTTTATGTCGCGCCTGCTGTAGTGGTTGATAAAGAAAACCGGTATTTATACCTCACAATCACCGGGACTGCAGGAAAGAATAAGGGCCTTTGGGATGGGTTCAGAAGGGGAAGACAATCTTAACTGATTGCAAAAGACGTGATCGCGCGACATATACAATTAATAATGGTAAAAAAAAAAAACGAAAGCAGCGAAATTGTGTGCACACCACGAACCAGACCACCCCACAAACCGGCAACTCGGAGGTGGGCAACCCCCCAAGATTAATTTTTGCAGAAGCCGCGAGCGAGGGGTGGAGGCGCAGCGAGGTCGAGGACGTGGGGAAGGCCGTGCGCAGGGCGAGGACAAAAGGGCGGCTGTGTTCGTGGGGGGGGGCTCCTGCGGAGCCCCCCCACGATCCCCGCCCTTTTGTCCCGCCCGGAGCCGGCCTTCACCACGTTCTCGGGCGAGCGCGCCTCCAGCCCGAAGCTCGCAAACCCACAACGGAGTTGCCCACAAAGGGAGTTGTCTGCAAAGGGTGTTTTGAGAGCAAACGGTGTGGGTGCCCTCAACTCCCTTCGTGGGCAACTCCGTTGTGGGTTTGCGAGCTTCGGGCTGGAGGCGCGCTCGCCCGAGAACGTGGTGAAGGCCGGCTCCGGGCGGGACAAAAGGGCGGGGATCGTGGGGGGGCTCCGCAGGAGCCCCCCCACGAACACAGCCGCCCTTTTGTCCTCGCCCTCCGCATGGCCTTCCCCACGTCCTCGACCTCGCTGCGCCTCCACCCCTCGCTCGCGGCTTCTGCAAAAATTAATCTTGGGGGGTTGCCCACCTCCGAGTTGCCGGTTTGTGGGGTGGTCTGGTTCGTGGTGTGCACACAATTTCGCTGCTTTCGTTTTTTTTTTACCATTATTAATTGTGTATGTCGCGCCTGTTGTAGTGGTCGATTACAAGAGGCGCGACCTACCACAGGCGTTGCGTGCATATGTCGCGCCTGTTGTAGTGAACCATTACAAGAGGCGCGACATATAAAAACAACCCCCTTCCCCGTACTTTGGTGGTAGGTCACGTCTTTTGCAATCAGTTAAGATTGTCTTCCCCTTCTGAACCCATCCCAAAGGCCCTTATTCTTTCCTGCAGTCCCGGTGATTGTGAGGTATAAATACCGGTTATCTCTATCAACCACTACAGCAGGCGCGACATAAAACCACTACAGTAGGCGCGACATAAAACCACTACAGCAGGCGCGACATAAAACGGGATACCAACCTAATTCTGAGAGAGTGGTGTATAGGTCGCGCCTCTTGTAAGATTACCGAAAATTGGCACTTCCTAGACTGCGCAGAATGGAGCAGGTCTCAAAAATCAATTGATAGCTACCAGATGGTTCCACATATTTTATCAGCTGATAATTTTACCTCGTCGGAAAACATAGCAAGAGCATTAGTCCGCATAAAAACACTCCAAGAAGAACCTCTAAAAAACTATGCCTCTCAAGCTAGACCAAACTCATACTGCAGAAGAAAAGGTGATTGAGGATATATTTAAAATATACAATTATTCTAATTATTATTTGTTTTTTCAGTCAGAGGGAAATTTTGGATTCTACTTCTTGTCACTGGCCAACGCTCTGTGCGGACAAAATCTGCACATTCCGCCAAAAAAACTCAAAGTCGGAATTTTCTGGACGGCCATACTCGCGGTCCACTCAGCAATCATCGCCCTCGTTGTAATTTTTTACGCCATCTCCACGATTGCGACTTTCGCCAAACACAGAGACGATTTCGGCCAAGCGCTGTTCACGGCAGCCGGATTTCTCGGCATGCTTGAATGTCTCATTCGCATCGTTTACACGACCGTGCGAAAAAAGAAAATGGAATCGATCGCCAAAAGAGTTTACGCCGCACTAAATCACCCAGGTTTCCAGGCGGGAGCCAGAAAATTTTCCACAAATCTTTCAAGGTAAAACAATATTTCAATTTTTAAAATAAAATTTGAAATTTTTATTTCTGAATTTTTGCAAAAAACTTATGGTTTTTTAATGGAAATTTCGATTATTAATTTTCTTACCAAAATAAAGTTTTATTTCAGGGGCATAACGATTTTAATAACAATCCTCTTCACATCTTTCATCATTTCGATCGGAGCGAATTATTTATCAACTTTCGGACAATTGGACAATTATTTGGAAAAATCGGCAGTGAACAGTTCGAAGGAAGTGGTGGACAAATTACTGACCTCAGGCCAGGTGCCCTTGGAGGTGATCGAATCTTGGTCCTACATCTGCGCATTTTTCCAATTCTGGCCGCCGATTCGCGTTCTCAAACTTTACGCTGGATTTCTGCATGTGATCAATTTCCTGGCCATTGGACGAATAATCGTTTCGGACACTCTGTTTTACGCTTGGTACATTATAATCATCAACCGGTACCACACCCTGGCCAAAAGTTTGTCGAAAGCTTTGGACAGAGATGGAGGCGAAGAGCAATTGACGGAGTGGCTCAATTTCCACCAAAATATCAATGAGTATGAATTGTATTTTTCAAGTGCTACAAAATTAATTTAAATATAAAACCTAATTAAGAACATCTGAGATTTTGTATAAGGAATTCATCAAAGGTTAATTTTTTCTTACAAAATAAATTTGAACCTCTCGATGAAGTCCTCTGATTTCAATCAATTCAGTAAAAACGTTTTGAAATTGATACTAAATTGACTCTGAGGTTCAAATGTTCACGGCGGGAAAACGCAAATCACCCATATTTAAAGTTGAAAGTGCTAATTTTCCAATCAGCGGTATGAAGTTTTCCATAAAAAACACATAAAAATTGGCAGACTTTCATGTTTGAGAATACAAAAATTTTAGTATGTCGTAGGTCTTCAATTTATGTTAGTTCGTGATTAAATTTTTACATTGCCGACTTTTAAATTAAAAATATTGATTTTAATTTTCTTGTTTCAGCTTGTTGAAAGAAATCAACGCTTTGGCAGCGCCGGGAATAGTCGCAGCAGTTATTTGCACGGGACTTCAACTTTGCATAATATCTTTTGTTATAGTTAAAGTATTTACAAAATTATAATTCTATGAATTTTCATTAAATTAAGCAACTAAATTAGCTACAGCATGGAACGACAATCTGCTCGTTTCTGATGTTTGGAATCGGCTCTGTGTACCAAGTTTACGTTTACAGCCTGCTCGGACAAAAAATCAAGGACAAGGTATAAAAATTCATAAATTTTTATTTGTTTTTCATTTTCTTCTTGTGTCAAAGGTCACCAAGGTGCATTCGGAGGTTTACAAGGGGCCGTGGATAGAAAACGACTCAATGAAGCAACACGCGGCTCTCATCATTTGCACCGCCTCGAGCGACAGAGTTGGTCACTGCCTTCCTGGAGCTCCGTTTTTTTCGATGTCCCTTGAATTTTTCGCTTCGGTATTACAATTAGCAATTGAATTAATTTTGAAGAATTAAATTTCTCTCATTTCACAGATGGTGAGCGTGGTTTTCACGTACTTCATGGTGCTGATTCAATTGAATAAAAATTAAAAAATAAATTTTTTTGTCAAGACAATTTTAATAAAAATAATAATCTAAAATTAGACTTCATGAAAAGGATTTTTTTTAATTCAAACAACGCCATCTGTAGTCAAGATGAGTCAAGCGCTGTATCTTGTTATGCACAATTTTATCTTTGGTAAACAAGTCAATGTTTCCTGCTGGTGCGAGTGAAAAGTTTTTAAACTGTATTTTAAAATTCTGCTTTTTTCAAATCATTGACCGAAATAAAAGATGCTGAACAATGTCAGGTACGCATGCATTTTTTAATTTTGATTTATTTTTATCTATTCATCTGTAATAGGACCTTCAAAGGGGTTAAAACTTTAAAATCGCTGTTGATGCAAAAAAGAGGAGTTTCTTTGTCGAATTTTAAGCCAAATAAGTTGGTCGAACTTTCCTTCAATGACAAAACAGGTAGACGCTGAAAATATTTTTGGTTTCAATGCAGTAAAATATTTATTCCTGAAGGCATAGCCACCGTTTCGATGAACCGACCTCCGGTGAACGCTTTCGACCGAGGTCATTTCCTCGCACTCCAAGAAACTCTCCAAAAGCTCGAAGATAACAAAGAGTGTCGAGGAATGATTTTAGCTTCGGTGAGAGTTTCTAATTTGCTCTGTTTGATTAATGAAAATTTAACTTTTTTCAATGAGCAAGAGTCGGGATAATATATTTTCGGCTGGACTGGACGTTGCGGAATTTAATTTCGATGATCTTGAAAGGGTTGCTGCATTTTGGACACTTTTTCAAGACATTTGGTTGAAGCTTTTCACAACTTCTTATCCAACTGTTGCTGCCATTAATGTAAGTTAAATTTTAAATTATCTAATTTACATGAAAGTAAATTATAACTGGTAAAAAAAGATTAAAAATATCACCAGATAAATTTAGTGCAAATCTCCAAATTACTTTGATATAATTATGAAAAAAAAATAGCAAAATTTTGCATATTAACCTGCAATTTCAGACTGTCAGATATGTTTAAATCCTGACTCTTTTCTGAACATGAAATAAGAATGGCCCGGATATTAAAAAGAGAGGGTGTCCGTCGTACCCAAAATTGCTTTAGACCGAATTTAGTCTGGAGTCTTTTGCTATAAATTATAAATTTAATTGCAAATTGCAAAAGTCGACGTAGAATTATAGCAAAAATTATGAAGGTCAAAATTTAAGAATACGACGTTATTATCTATTTATAAACAAAGACGGGTTAAATTTGCGTGGAAATTCATAGCAAGATTTGATCGGGATTGCGTGAAAAAAGATTCCTTCCTACCTTTCATCCAAGATCAGGATCAGAGAACTCATGGCTATGTGGCCTCATCAAAAGCTTCTGGTTTGGTCCTTTTGAGTCTTCTCGTTTTGTCCACGGCCTTTCTTCAGTGACACGAAGATTGTCCTGCGTCATTTCTCTCACACACTTCACCATAAATCCGTTTTCTTGATAATTTCACTGCCAAACTTAGCCGACAAGGTCAATGCACCGAACTAATTGTAAAATAAAAATAAACAAATGTTTTCTTCCCCCCCCCCCCACTAACGGAATCCAACCCCCTCTATAAGAAAAGAGGGTCTAATGGCGGGAAGAAAAGAGACGTGTGATGAACGTGACACGTGATCAGCCATTAAATAGCGAACAGCGAACCTGTCCTAATAATAATAATTTCGTTTTTTTTTATGCAAATTTTTAAAATTAAAAGAAAAACTTATTGCATGAGCTTTGCAATTTTCTAGTTATTTATTTTTAAATACACGTGTCTTGTAGAATAATGGATTAAAAAAAAATTAAAAATGAGGAATTGCCAGAATTTGCCACCGAATATCAAGATTTTTTTTATCATTATAAATTACATAAATTATTAAGGAAACATTAAACAATGCGCATTTTGAATTGTATTATTATTAATAATGTTTCTCATTCTTTTCAAATTATGTGCCGCAGAATAGCTCATTTGATAATTTCATTGATTTTTATTAAAATTTTTAAATTTGAAGGGTTATTGTCCAGCCGGTTCCTGCGTCATGTCTTTAGCTTGCGAGTACAGGGTGATGGTCGCCGATCCTCGATTCCGAATCGGACTGAATGAAGTGCACCTGGGAATCGTGGCTCCGAAATGGGCCTTGCTCGCCACGAGGGACACCGTGTCTTACAGACCAGCCGAACTCGCCCTCACCACCGGAAAAATGTTCTCCCCCGAAGAGGCCCAAACCCTAGGGCTGGTCGACGAGTTGGCCAAAGACAAGGTGGACGCTCTGTCCAAGGCTGAAAAGTTTTTAGTAGAAAATTTTTCCTCCGTAAACCGTATGAAAGATTTTGGTTGATTTTTTTTTTTCAAATATTAATTATTTATTAAAAAAAAACAGCTATTGCTAGGAAGTTGACGAAATTGAGCCTGCGAGAGCCGACTACAAATTGGCTGATGAAGAATAAAAAATGGGATTTGGATTTTTTCATGGACCACTTCAGCAAGCCCGATGTCCAAGAAAACCTGAGGAACTACATGGAAAATTTGAAAAATAAAAAGAAATAAATTTTATTTTTAGTCACAAGGTTTTTTTTAAAATTATTTTGAGTGAAAATTTGAAATATTTCAAGCATATTTAGTTTCAAACTTTTGTATATTTTTTGTTGTGCAAATGAATTAATTTTGATCCCTTTTTGCATACTGAATGGAAACATAACAAAGCAGCTTTGATGTGAATTTTAATCCAGCGAGATCAGAAAAACCATCCAGCGCGTTTTTTGAATGGCATAAAAGGCTCATTATTTGTGCTCCAGCAAAATGCGTCACGATATTAAAAACACACAAAGTGATATTATGCACCAGGTACACACACTTTTTATCCGTATCCATTGTGTGGTTAATGCGCTCTTTCTGCCTCATACTGCTGGCATAATATTTGATTGATGATGTGCACAAAGCAGTGGGACGAGATAATTATTCCGGTACAAAAAGGCCTGGGGTCAAATTTATCGTTTTAGCATTTAAATTAAAAAGTGCGCCGAAAAATTTAATTTGCATGGTAATTTTTTCACCCAAATTTCTGGCGTTTGTGAAACAAGATTCGTAGAGGTCTTTTTATAAAATTTTCCTTTATTTGCATTCATCTTCCAAAAGCAACCACATTTTACATTCACGCAAGGCGAACTTCGCATATTTAAATTTCTCCATCAACCAATGCTTTTTGTAATATTAGTCCAGTTTGTGTTGATTATTGTATTTCTTCATCCATGTTTACAAGAATACATACACCCTACACTCGATAGCAATATTATTCGTAGCATGTTTTTAATCCTAAAACCTTATACATATTTTTTTCTTTTTTACCATAATTCTTTTGTGGGACCGCAAGTGAATCCATGTTGTATTGCGATCACTTTAATACATTTTGTTTTGCTGAGATACATTAATAATAACCTTCCAATATTCCTTCCTAAGCCAAGCAACCAAACTTGAATACCACAAAAATATGAAGGAAGCTGGAATTTCAAAGGCTGTGATTCCATTCTTTCGAAAACAAGTACGCACCTGAATTGCGAAGCACAAAAGTCCTATGAGAATATGGGCCAAAAAGCAATACATTTTCAGATATTTTTTTTCTTTAGTGAGAGAAACATTATTTTTATGATCAAATCATTTTCATTCTGACAAACAAAATCAAAACTACATCACAGCATGTTGGTGAAAACACAGAGGAGAAAATGATAGCATCATAGTGGTTTAAACGGATTGCGTTCATGATTACAATAATTGTTTGAAACAAATATCAAAATTGAATAGCTGCATGTTGACCAAGTTGAACACGTCTTGATACCCTATTAAATTACACGCTAGGTTGTACTTCGATCTTCTCATGATTCGCAATGAAATACATATATAAATGATAAAAATGATGAGAATTTGTGAATAAATAAACTGAAAGACACGCATTCGTTCCATGACAGATGTCTCAACAAAAATGCAACGATTTTTTTCAATAAACAAATCAAGTTTTGAGCGAAGCTAGTTCATAAATAAAAAGCTTATACAAGAAGAGAATATATTTCCGAAATCGCAGAGTGTCACTGACCAAGCTTAGCAAGACAACCAAGTCTCAAAAATTCTGCTCTCAAAGGCAGATCTGCATCATCTTTTTCAACAGAAAAATCGGAAATAAAACTGGCAACTTATCTTTTGCAGAGGATGGAAGTAGTGATCCATGCCTCAGCAAATTTAATAAAATTAAGAGAAAAAAATCATCAAATTAAATCGTAGCCCAGCAGCAGTAATCCGTATATTAATACATGATTCACATGAAATGTATCACATTGTTTGCATCCACAATTCCTCAGAGTTCTATGTGAATATGTTCTTCTTCCATTGGCCAAATTGCTAAGAGGTATGAAGGTCTTCGTCCTCGAACAGCGAGGGGGAGGTGCACACTGCCACTGTCTGGGTGTACTCATCTTCGGTATTGACGTCGAAGTTGAGGACCAGCAGTTTGGTCTCTTCTGTGCCGTTTCGGCTTCCAACCGCACAAACCAGAGTTGTGTCTGTGGCCCGAATGCGCCAAACAACTCCTCCCGAACCACCACTGTCCAGGGCAATCAGGTTCCTAATAAATTCGCCTGAAAAATGGTCAAGTTTAGAAAAAATTACAACTTGCTAGAAATTAGAATTACCAGTTTTCACATCCCACAGCTTGACTGTGCCATCGTCTGAGGAAGTAATGACAAACTTGCTATTGAACTGGAGGCAGGTGACAGCAGACTGGTGCTTGTTGGGCCCTGAATGAACCAAAAATAAGCAACTTTCCCTTTTTTTGTTCAATTTCGAACAGCACCTGAGAGAGTCTGCAAACATCGGCCGGTCACAATGTCCCACACTTTGACGGTAGAGTCTGCATTTCCGGACACCAGGATCCGATTCCGCAGCTCCATGCCGGAGGTGAGCGACTGGTGGCCCATGAGGGTGTGCCGCAGTGTGCCCGTCTTGACGTCCCACACCCGAATACTGGTGTCCAGAGAGCCGCTGACCACGTGCTTGCCGTCAAACTGCAGCGAGTAGACGCGGTTCGTGTGACCCTGCAGGGTGTGCAGACACTCCTCACGCTCGGGGTTCCACACCTTGACCATGTAGTCGTAGGCGCCGCTGACCACCAGCTTGCCGTCGTACTGGACACAGCGAACGGCTGCCAAGTGTCCGACAAGGACGTGTAGGCAGGAGCCTGATTCGATGTTCCAAACACGCAGCGTTGCGTCCCGAGAACCACTGACCACTCTGGAAACAAAGATGAAAAGTTTTAATTAATCTTCTCAAAATTGTTTCTAATCTTGATGAAAATATATTTAATTCTTTTATTTGATGTTGTTTAAAGAACAATGATTTAAATTCCTTACGACAAATTTCAAGAAACCAGTTTTCAATATTTTACCATCTTTAACTTTTCAAAATAATTGATGTTTTCAGTAAATTCTGTTTTTCTTTAATCATATAATGAACGATTTCAAAAACGACACTTATAATGCAAAACATAAATAAATAAGAATTAACCATCAGTTTGTTTTGATTGTAACTTTTTTTCAAAGAAGTACTTCGACTTACTTCTTTCCGTGCAAATGCATGCACCTGACCGTCGACGTATGCCCATACAAAGTGTGCAAGCACTGGCCAGATTCTGCATTCCAGACCTTTAGAGTGCGGTCCGTGCTGCCACTGATGATGGTCGAACCAGACATTTGGGATGACCAAACACCTCCTATGTGGCCTACCAATACACGAAGACACTAAAAAAAGAGATGATTTTTTCAAAAACCCATAAAACTCCAATTAGATTTGAAATACCTTTCCTGTGGTCGCAGACCAAACTCTCAGTGTATTATCATCAGATCCGCTGAGTATTTTATTATCAGAAAATTGCAGGCAAGTTATGACATGGTCATCGTGACCTTTGAGCACTTTAGGTTGACGAATCGGTTTGCTACGCCAATTCATCTCAATGCAATGTTGTCGAAGATAAGCAGACTGCAAAAATAATGTGCATTTAGAACAGTTCAATGCAAAAATGGATTCTTTCTTACTTTCCACGGTGATGACGGGGGCTGAGTTATTGTGCTATAGGAAGTACTGGCTGAGGGACTAAATCTGGGGTTCTCGGAACTCGAGCCCGCCCCGCTAGAGAGGGATGAAAATTGTGAAAGCCTGCTGGAGGTTGTGTACTCTTTCCTCGAGCTGGGTGGCGTCTGCAATAATATTAAGGATTTTATGTTAATTAGGCAAAAAAATTAGTTTTTCTTTAAACTTACCCAAGGGGAATCAATTCCAGCTGCCTTGCATTTCCCGCGCCACAACAAATTGTCCTCAGTCAAGATTCGCCAGTACCGACAGGTCTGTGCGGCTCTTAGCAGGTCCACTGGTTGTAAAAAGCTAAGTACGTGTAAAGCCAACTAGAAAAAAATTACATTTAAGATTAATTTACATAATTTTTTAGACGAATACCTCTTTGGGGAGGAGGAAAATAAAGTCCCGCTGGAGGTGAGGCTCGATCTTGTTCATCATGTAAAGAGCGTCTTCTAAATAACACTCGCCGATGAGAGCATCGATGGCCACACGGCGCTCATCGCTGCTCCAGTTTTTGTAAGTTTCCATCCACTTTCGCAGCTTCAGCGGTTGGGGAGTGGTGAACACGCCGATCTTGCGACTCCACGGTTTGCCCAATTGGTATGGCTTCCTCAGACGCTTGCATTCAAGAGCCGTCTCTGATTCTCCTTCGTCGGTACTGCTGTCCTCGAAAGAGTCACTCCCCGGGCCACGCTTCCGAGGGAATTTATCACTACATTCTGCTTCAGTCTCCAAATTGTTTAGCTTTCTCTTCCGCTGCATATGGGAAAATTAAATTAATTACATTATAACTATGCAATAATAAAATTCATACAATTATCTCATTATTATAGAAAATATAAACTTGATTACTGTCTTCATTATCAAGCAGAAATTAATTTATAAACAAGTTTTAAAAATTTAGAAATGTTTGTTTACTTTACATTCTAACAAGTGATAGAATTGAAATATGTTGACCTTTCTAAATTTTTGTGTTTATTTTTTTAGATACTATTCTTAAACAATTATTGGTAAATTTTGTTTCAAAATTAGCAATGAACAAACCGAGGAAATCTCCTGGCTATTCCACGGAGTCAGCTCCTCAGGGTCCTTGGGGCCCTCGTCCCCCACAGTGTCCGAAACCGCTGTCTCGGATGAGGTAGATGGGGTGGGGTCGTTGGGGTCGCTGACCAGAGTGGGTGGCGACAACTGCCACCTGGTTTTGGCCTCTTCGGGGGACTCGTCACCAGGACTGTCGATGACATCCTCGACGGCGGCCACGGACTCTTCTTTGGACTGCGAGCTGCCCATGTCCTCGATGGCCTCCTCTGACTCCTCAGAGCTGCTGTACAAGGCAAGTTTGTTGGAAAGGATGTCCTCGACGGGCTGCTGGTTCAGCACATCGTCCACCTCTTCGTCGGCTAAGGTCGGCGAACCAGAGTCGGTGCCGAGAGGTGGAGAGTCGGTGGCAGTTGTGTGCACTTGGCTAGAAGAGTTTCCGCAGCAGTCCCACCATAAGTCCTCGGAGTGACCCTGTGGCCAAGGCGTGAAAAAAGAAGGGTGCAATATGAGTGTCTGGGATTAAGATCTGGGTGTGGCTGTTGTTTTTCAATTTACTGTCTCTCGTAACAAGGTGGCAACTGATGGTTTCACCAAGATTTATGCAAAGGAGGAAAATTAATGACTTACCCTTTCAGCGCCATCCATAATTCAAGATGACGGTGTAAAAGGAGGCCGAATTATGAGGTACTCATGGCTGGGGAGCGCTAATGATACCTCATAATACGAGAGTGATGCAAAACACGATTGCGATTTTGTTCAGTCTTTAATCTGCAAACAGAGAACAAAGAGATTTAGCATCCATCTCAGGCAGAGCAGGTGAAAAAGTCACGAAATTAATTGTCATGGCCATGCCTCAATGCCCTTCAAGTGAAATCCCACCTCGCTCCGCTCTCGAGCTCACGTCTGGGCGCACGAAAGACGTCACGCGCAGCCCCAGCGCCCGCAATTGCGAATTTAGATCAAGACCGATAATGCGCAAGAAATTTATGTACGTGTGTAAAAACGTAACGCGAATTTCATGCGTTTCTTTGCTGCGTGACAAAACACACCCTGAGCTCGCGAGCGAGCTCCACACGGCCGATCCGAGCCATTTTTCTCACACGCGGCTGAACGAAATTTGACAAATTTGCTCCAGTTCAACGCGCCAAGGATGAAATTCGAGTTTAGCGCCCGGATAGACCGAAAATTGGCGAGCGGAGCGCGTGATTAAGAAATAAAATTATCAAATTCAACAAACCTCATCCATTAATCTCGAAAGTGGCAGCCATGTTGAAATTAAATCGCACCAGAGCCACCTGCGGACATCTGTTCAAAGGCGAATTACACTTTGGGTTGATGCACGAACGCGACGACAGATTGCAAAAACAGTAACCTAATGGGAGGGGCCAAAAAGAGTTTTATGAAAGACTTGAATGAAGTACTTTCAATGCAGCATTTTTATTGGTTAAATTCCTATTAGTATCTTTCAACTATAGGCTCCTTTCTTTACTCTCCTTACAATCAGTTACAATCTTCCATTCAATTCCGGCTAATCATTGTAGTCGGGAAAATGACAGGCCACTGGATCTCTCTGTTCATTGGTTCGTCTTCCTGAATGAGCGAACCGCGATGATTTAAAGTTGTTTATGAAGGTTCCAAAAATGGAAAGTCAGGAAGAAAGACATGAAAATATCCTCACTGACGAGGAAATTGATCAAGATGTTTTGTTCACGTACGTCTAAAATTAATTCTCATAGTTATTTGATTCTAAATTTATCATAATTAGGGTTGAAAGGCTAATATCAGAGTTAAAAGAAGATGCAGAAAGTCCTCCTGCGGAAGTGATCGAAGAACCACCTTGTCTCGATCATGATTCCACGAAGGCCACTGAAGAGTTAGTTGAAATAAAACAGGACGAAGAGAAAGAATCTGAAGAAGTTGATAAAGAAGTAGATGATAAGCTAATCGAGGAAAAATCAGAGCCTGCTGAGAGTTTTCCAACTTTGCCCATCGAGGAAAAATCAGAGCCTGCTGAGAGTTTTCCAACTTTGCCCATCGAGGACGAATCAGAGCCTGCTGAGAGTTTTCTAACTTTGCCCATTGAAACTACATCACCAGCAGAGCCCATCGAACTCATAAAAGAACAACCTGAGAAAGAGTGCAAAGCTCCACTATTATTAGAAACAGAAATTGAAAAAGAGCCAGAGCCAGCAATTACCATTCCCAAGTCTACACCCATCGAAATTAAAGAAAGGTTTGTATTTTAGATACATTAAAATTAAATAAATAAAAAATTATATTATATTTAGCAAAAACGTATTTTGCTTGAAATGCAAATCGGAACAGTCATGGCTTTGGAAAAGGATCTCCAATGGCTTTCTCTGCACTTCGTGTGAAAATAGGGAGGGAAGATTTGATGGTGAAGACCAACCACCTGCAAAAAGAGCACACAGGGACTCCGTTGTCATCCTCGAAGGCGACGGTGTGGATTCGTCTGAGCCTAAGACTGACTTGAGCAAAAACGATCTGGCAGATGCTGATGGTGCGGCTGGTAATGACACTGGGCTTGCAACACCCCAGCCCACGAGGAAAAGTTCGAGAAGCACCAGAAGCACTCTATCTCACTCAAACCCTTACGCCTACCCCAGACCAGTCGTTTCGAAACCGAAAGAAAAGAAGTCAGTTGTAAGAAATGTGGTAGGTTAAATCAAACCAGCCAATATTGTCAATACTTATGAATTTAAATTTACAGCCAACCTATTCATCGCCTGCGCCGGTATTGAAATTGACTACAAGAGTTCGCCATAAGGTATGATAAATTAATTTTTTGATGAAATTGTGTTTAAAAGTCTGTTTTAATAATTCTAGGGCAGTTATATTAAAATGGGGGACATTGTTTCTGTCCGCGGCCATGATGGTGGGATTTATTACGCTCAAATACGAGGCTTACTTGAGGACCAGTATTGTGAAAAAAGTGCAGCCCTCACTTGGCTCCTGCCCTCGAAGGACAGCCCACCGCCTGAACGTGGTTTTGACCCAGACACTTATATCATTGGTAGGATACATGTTCACATTGAAGATTTAGAGAGTAAAAATATTGCAATTCTAGGAATGGAGGAAGATGTTCCTAGGTCTTTGGAGAGCATGGAGTTTGTGATGCATGCGCCGTCAGATTATTTTAAGCTGCAGCTTCCTTATGGATTTGAAGATACTTATGGATGCTACAATGATTACAGACTTACGGATTAAAAAACTACTTAAAATTTTGACATCTACAAAACTAAAATTGTGACAGATTTTTTTCTTTCTAATAAATCGTTTATTACCTAAATAAATTAAGTTACAAGTGGTTACAAGATTTCTTTTCTATCTACTAGAAATGTAAATTAAATTTTGGGATTTTATTTGTTTGAAAAAAATAATAGCCACGGGTTAAGTGGATGTTAATTTTCAAAATTAGTTATACAAAGGGAGGTAAAAGGTTGAGCCCTGTGCAGCCATTTCCGTATTGGGCTGTTAATTCCCATGGAAAAAATCTTGCCGGTTTATTAGTGAAATTTATTTATGAGCCGTTGTTCTCTCTCGCGTTGGAAAATAACCCCAAGTCACCAGAACACACAGCACGCTTTTCAATCTAATAATCAAGCCTCTTTGATCCGAACAATATATATGATGTGTGAAGCATATCATATTATTTGCTCAAATACTTATTATTAGTGGAGGATGATTACGCGTGTAGACAACAATGGGGAGAAAGAAAGGTCTAGTTCATCAGGCCCGCGATGGGTGGCCCGTGACCCATGGGAGCGACCTCGGCGTCTCGAGGAAGAGAATTTCGATAAAGGTTGAGGGAAAATTCGGCGGGATCTCCGATATTATTTCGCACCGCGGCCGACGGGCATGAAATCACTAATGCCGTTGCAATTTATAATTAATCACTTTTAGCAGGGCACACCGAAATGAGGGGTAATAATGGTAATGACGGCAGACTCTCTTTCTCTCCGAAGAGATGAGAGCGGAATTAATGAATTTAAAATTACAACGCGTTTAAAAAACAATAAACATGGTATATGAGAAAATAATTATAGGTCTGTGCGCTTTTCTAAAACGAATGAATGCACATGTGAAACAAAAGCGTGTACATCAGAATACATTACGATCAAAAGCCAAAGTGGATGAAGACATCATTTCGTTTTTCTTCTCTGTGAAACAGATTGAGCAGTCGTGGCTTATTCCCCGTCAGACTCTCTCGGTTGAAAGAAACGGTGAATATTAAATAGGCAGTTTTGTGTCTCTCATTTCGGCCGCCTCTAATTCATCATCTCTGCATGAAAAGCGGCGAGCTCTTTAGATACAAATTTCTCTCTTCGGAAAGATCTTCCTTGATCATGGGTGAAGAGCGACTGAAAACGAAAAGCGTCTCGACTTTTCACTAACTAATAGATCAAAAGTGATCTAATTTGCTTTCAGGGAGGCCCGACTCATCACCGTTCAATGTAAACACGCGAACGACGTGATTAATTATTTCGGAAACGCCAGCTCTGCCCCGAGCAGCTCTGAATTTGAGAAAAAATCGTTTTGTGTTCGCCGCTTTGAGCGCCTTGTTTTACATGTTAGATTATTAATTATCGCAAGTCACTTTTCTATTTTGAAGCTCCCGTCAGTCGCGTGCTTCATTAAGGACCAAATTGAAATTTTTTGAAAAGGCAAATGTATCAGGTTGGTTAAATTCTTGAAAAAAAATCTATCTTGAATTTTTCACCATAGAGAAAAGTTAAAAATCAAAGAACATGCAATTTACCTTTGTTAGCACAATTTTTAATTAAATTTTATTTAAAAAAAAAAAAAACGTTAATTATTCAGGAAGTTAAATTCTAATTATTATTTTTCTGAGATTAATGTTTCAACTGGTGTCAACTTTTTTGTGTCTTTTATTTTATTGGGTTTTTTTTCTTTCTATTAATACATTTTTAATTAATGCTAGAAAATTTTTGACCAAGGCGATTCATTTCCTTGGAACAAAAGTTAGTTTCTCAACTTCTGCACTTTTTTTTAATAGCGCGACGTCAATTTTTTTTTTGCTGACCAAAAATAATTGTTGGATAATGTAAAGAAAAATTCAACGACGGCTGTCTTTTTTTCTCGCTATCTGGCAAGCGTAATCAAACAATAGGAAATTCCTCTCTGACAATGCGAGAGTGTCTCTGCACCTCCCGCGCACTACTCGTAACCGCAGCGCCGAGGGAAAAATGAGTGACACCGGCAATCAGAAGGGTTTCTACTTGTCCTTGGCTGGAATAAATAATAATTGTGGAAGATTGATATCTGTGCCATATGATATAAAACGAACACGGGCGCATTGTTTAAGCGGCGAGCGCGCGCGGCTGGAGCGGCGTGCCATTTGTTATGCGACCGTACGGAGGTGTATCATTATGATGAGGCTAATTTTTCATACCCCGAGAGCGCAGAGCGCCGCGGCCGTGCTCGCTAACTTATGGCTTAATATTATTTCCATTGTATCAGACTTTATGAATGGGCCGACTTTCGAAGACTCAATTTGACAGGCGTCGTTTTGTGAATGGGCCTGATTTTGGACTGAGGGGTCCTTATTTCATAATGTATCATCTTATATACGTGATCCTAAAATTGAATGAATGAATAAAATAATGGAAATTTGACGTGCAATTCTGAAAATGCATGGAAAACGAATGGTAAAAAACAAAATATCAACTTACAAGAAGGAATCTAAATTCTCTCAAAACCTGCATAACATAAATTTCTGTTTATAGGAACAAACTTTAAATTAAAAATGAATGAACATGAATTCGCTTGTTCAAAGTTCGCCAGCTTACCAAGTAAACTTTTTTTTTTAATTTTTTTTTATTTTTTTTTAAGAAAACTGCGATTCTAAATAATACAATTTTTAATTATTTTTTATTCTGTTATAAATTTGTTTCCTGCTAAGTTTGACAACATATTTTGCACAGCCAGAACGATGCTAAAATTAATCTTTGAAAATTTAAAATAAAACACTGAGAATCATAAAAACATTATTGTTACTCACAAAATTGAAACAAAAAATCACTTAAAATTTAATAATTTGTAGAAAGGAACTTCTGCGGCTGATGAAAATTAATTCAATTCAATTCATTTATTCTCTCGCAACAAGTCTAACAAAAATTAAAAATCACACCAAAAGATATCAAAATCTGACCTTCCCCTACCCCAACCAAATCCACATCCTTTCTTAATCTTTTTTCTCTCTTTTAGTTTTCAGCTTTGTTTGTCATCATCGCGTGGACCAAAATTAAGGATATGCCAGCAAAAAATGATGATTTTTTAAATAAAGTTGAACCCAAAAATAAAAATAAAAAAAAATTAATTGGGTGGTGCCTTCTGTACCACCAATAAAGGGCACAGGCCGACAAGACTTTGTCTTGGCCTGACCCTAAAAAAAAAAAAAAAACAAAAAAAAAAAAAAAAAAAAACATTGGGAGAGAATTGGCAGCCAGCTCTAGTAAACAACTTACTAAAACTCATAGGCTCAATTTGGAAGCCTATTTTGGATTGCAAAAGAATTACCAGATAAAGTGGATAATAAATATCCAGGGATTTTGATTATTATGAACATTTCATCATTTACAAAAAGATGTTATTTTTCAATTAAAACTTAAAATTCTGGATCGTTAACTTCAAAACAATCTTGTTAGATATTGTTTCATGTTGTCATCCTTGCAGTTTTAGTTTTGATAAGGAATATATAATTACTCCGAATTTCAAACAAAGTGTAAAGAGAGGTTTAAGTGTTAATTTTTATGAATAATTTGGACTGATTTTTAAATTCAAGTTGGATAAAATCCGATAGAGTTCAATTATTTATTATTGCTTCCACAAATCAAAATTGAGCCAAAATGGGAAGAAGGAAAATAATTAATTAATAAAATGTTGAATATTTGTAGAAACATTATTTGCAATCCTTATAAAAAAATATTTGAGCGTATTATTTTTAAAAGGGCGCGATTTTGAATACTGGCCAGTTGAAATCTTTCTCCATTTGTATTCTTAGTGACCTAAAATTTAAGCCTCTTTTAGCTGAGGAACTTATGATCATTAAGAACCAATCTGTATATTAAAATTATATGGCAATGATGAATTTGAGAAGAATATGTTCAAAGTTGTTAGACTATATGATTATATACCTTTGGGAGTGATTTTCATTTTTCACTAGATGCTGCTTGTGAGTTATTATGTAGCAAAAAAAAAACCGCGTGTTAGCAAGCTCGCTGCTTTTTGCATATTAATCATGCGCGTCATTAAGCGTACATGCGTCGGCTTCGAGGGTGGTCAGCCATTAAATGCCGAGTGAGTGCGACTGTCAGCTGATGGAAGCAATGCAAAAAAAAAGTTCTCACACACTCCAAGGTATAAATTTATTTACAAATCCTATCACGCGTGCATTGTCTTCCTTGCGCCGAGCAGAGAAAGAAAATGTTTTGAGAGAATGCAACGCGTCGGTTGTCGTCGTTTTTATTGCCGTTTTATTGCCATTAAGCTGCCGCCTGCGAGATGTTATCAATTTAATAAAATTAATGCCCCCGACGGCAGCGAGATGAATTTCAACTGAGAAATATTCATATGTGCTCGAGAGAAGCGGCGGAAATATGGAAAGCAAAAAGAAATTTTTGTTTTCAAGAAGAGCCGATTTGCTCTCGCGGTTTCCATGCTGGAATCTCGTCGATTCGGAGAGAGAGAAAAACACACATGCATGCAACACAAGCGGATAAATTATATTCCGCTTGATTTTATTGTACAACCGCTCGCATGCAAAACCACGCCTATTGCTATTGGACGATCCAATCATTAGCGGATGAGAGAGAGCTAGTGCGCCTTCAATTGCAGCGCAATTTGCATAATATAAATTTTGCTCCATGGCTTCGAAGCGTTCCCCACCATAGAGCTATTTTATTGTTTCCTCTCTAACTCCATCAAAACCGCCTTTGAACAGTTGCCAAGAGCGAAATAAAATAAAATCTAATGCCAAGAAAATTTATTTTATATTTATTGCAGTTTTTATAGGCTTGAGAATAGCATCAAGTGAAAATAAATTAATTCATGCTGCATTTTATATTATATTTTACATCAATAAAGAAATATCAATTAACCTTTTGAGTAGAGATTTCTGCAACCTGCACAAGAAAAAAACCTTTTACATCAAAATTTTTCTTTATGATATAGTTTTGCATATACAACACTATTAAGTCTCTGGAAGTCTATTGAAAGGCAGAATAATATACCGCAAAAAATACCTGACATGGTATTAATTGGACAATTTCTTGACATAATGGTCTCCTGCCAAGACATATGGCCGTCCGAACTACGATCCAAATAACGCGGTCAAATTAGCATGAAATTAAAATGTATGTTCAATTTGGTGCTATCAAGATCTAAAACGCATAATCATCTTCATACTTTTGTTGCTTTTGAATCATGATTATTAAGACATTAGAACAATACATTTCTGAACTTAATTATTGAGTGAATGAGCTTAAGAAAGGATCATATTATTTAAAATTCAAGCCATATAGATAATAATTTGAACAAAAATTTCCATTGTTTTGCAGGTTGCAGATGCCAGCTGCACTAAACTTTTAAATAAATTATATAATTTATTTTTGTTTGAAAAGCACTACGATGGATATTGAAACAGGTGTAGTTCCTCAGAATATTATTATTTTATTATTCTGAATTCTTAGTGATATCTCTCCTGAAGATAAAACGCCAGGGCACGAGCTGAGCGCGCGAGAGAAGGTAATCGAGCGCTCTGTGTTTTACCAGCATCGAGCGCCATAAAAAGGTGTCCCCTCTTGCCTATCCTGGCGTTCTCTCCAAAGCAAAATCTTTATGGTGTGGAATTTCTGTTCCGGTTTGCATTTGACACTAAATACACTTTTGATGATCACCAAGCATGGCGAGCAAAAAACGTTTCTTTTCGCTCGTTTTTTTTCCACTATGCGCGCCTAAATCGACACTTCCGTGCTCGTCCACGTGTCTGCTCGTCTTTTGTGTAGGTTCGTCTCTTATTTTGTTTATTTGGGGACTCGACTAAAGTTCCAGCAGTTTGATGAACTTAGAAAATAGCTATATTTAAAACTAATTTTTAATTAATTTTATTTTCAATTAACATTAAAGTCTTTAATAACTATTAAAAAAAAAAATTATAAATAAACAGCATAAAATTATTTTAATTTTATTCAAAAATTTTTACATAAAAAAATTTAAAATAAAAAATTTAATTTCTAAAGTGATTTTTATTAAAATTTAAAAAAACATTATTAAAAAACATTATTGTTTTTACAATTATTTATTCAATCATTCATGTTCATCTGTTTTTGCTCTAAAACTAACAATATATTTTTGAACTCTTTTATTTTTACTCTCGTTCATCGTCACTCAAGTTAAGTGGTATAAACGATATATCAGCAAAGTACTGTTCCTTGCTCGTGCAGTGTGTGTGCACCAAAGGATCATTAAGGAAGCACGCCTGTGTGACATCGCGAGTGCGTGCACCAAAGTTAATTCACCTTCTCCCTTCGTGGATCAGCTGAAAAGTGTTTGACACCGCACCGTTACCTCAGGCTAATTAAATATCCAAGGGAGTCATGACCTGACGCAAGACATGCAGGAATTCTCAAAATGCAAAATGATAAAATATTAAATTATTATAAATTAATTAATTCAAATGGTAACGCCTCTGTGTTTTATTCATCATTAGCAAAAAAAAAATTGAAATTAATTTAAATTACATGCGCTGAAAGGAAGCATAATTTAATTTTGCAGACACCTGCGTGGGTGTTTAAACGGAGCATAAATTTTTCATGAATGAAAAGCACATTGATATAACTCTGCTCTCGATATATTACACGTCTCATAAAACAGCGGGTGGAGGAATTAAACTGCGCCGCAAATGTTTGCCGAGATTCAGCGGCTATTTATTATTAAATACCAAGAGAGGCGGGCTATTTTTATTTAATGCATTCATTATCAGCATGAATGATACTGATTTAAGCGACACTTTAATTCTATTCAAAGATATCTAAAACTGATAAAAATCACTTCTCTGTAAATTCATCAGAGAGGAAAAGTCTTTTAAAAACTTCATTTCCTCTATATAAAAGTATTCAGTTTTTATATATAAAAAAAATTCCCAGCATTGCCAAGCATTATTACTAAAATTTGTTTTATTCACATAACATTCCCATGGGCTAAACGCGCATATAAACGACCGATTGTGAAACAATTAGTCTCGCCATTAGGGTGGCTCGCGTTGTATAAAACCCCCCTTTCCCTTTCAATGGGAAAAGGGTTGCCGCCGCAACACACGTACGTGAGGTATGTGAAAGAATTTTATTTTGACTAGGAGAGGGCGGGCAGGCGACTTCTCAGGTAAATCCTCCCGCAGGAGGGAGAGGGCCTGGCCTGCCGGCGGTGGGGGCACCAGCAGGTAACCCAGGTAGGTATTAATGAAAACTCAGCCGTACCACAAAGCAGTCTGCAGCCGGCCGAGACGGTCCTCCCGAACAGAGATTCCGCCGAAATTTTATTCACCTTGGCACCCTTGAGACTGAAAGCAGGTTCCTGGTTCGCGAGAGGTGAAGGAAACCGCCGACGATGGCAGACTTTCATGAGGTTGGTTTTCTAATTTCCACATTCTATCTGCCGTAGATTACAAACGAGAAAGAAAAAGGGTCTTGCGGGCATTCAGTCGTTGCGATCACAAATATACGGTAAATTGAATTGGATACTTGAATAATTAATAACTAATTTTTTTGAAACGGATGGGAAACTTTTTATGAAAATTAATTTCATTTTTTTACTTTACATTTTGTCGGTTGTGTTTTGTCCTTTTGGACATTCGTTGCATTTAATACAAATGGTATATTATGCAAATACTTATACAAAATCAGTCGCAATTTATCGCCTTGGTGATCGGTGCGCAAGATAATATTTGCGTGTCACGGCTTACTTGAACTGGTACAAACACACACACATTAATGGAAGTGTGTTGGCGAGAGATGAATGTAAATAGCGAAAAAAAAACATCATCTGTTACGCATCACAAGTAGGCACGCAATTTAAATGTACAATTCAATCGGACGCCGCGCGCGCGAGAAATCCAGAAATGGCAACTCCACTTCCCTTCCCATGCGCTCATATACATATAATATTATATTCTTTGATAGCCCGCGCGACTCTTTTTAATAAATCTCTCTCGCACATCCTCTCTCGGCGCGATCGCACGATTTTTTTGCCGGCCGTTGAATGGACGAACACCTCTAAACACATTCTCATTATCTTTTCTCTTTTCGACGCGTGATTTATTTCCATGTTTCTCTTTCTCTCTCTCTCTCTAACCCGAGTGTCAACGCACGTATTTTCAGATGTGGCAGGACATTGAGACGGTCATCCTGGGCGTGGGTGGACCCCCGAACCCGGCCAGCATCTCGCCGGTCACCGACTCGAAGCAGCTGGTCAAGGATGACTCGTCGCCCTCGTCATCCCCCTGCTACTACAGCAGCGACACCCTGCACGACCCCCACCTCTCCGACGGCAAGGGTGACCAGCAGGTGCCCAACTTCACCCCCGACGAGTACCCAAAGGTCAAGGTAGAACCGTCCAACGAGTCCTATCTGCGCCCCCAGTACCACCCCTACCACCCTTACTCCTCAAATAATCAGATTTATCACCCCCACCACCACCAGTCCTACGGCCAGATCACCCCTCCGCCGACCCCGGAGACCTTCATGTACAGCCACCCGCACCACTCCTACCATCCGCACCCCCATCAGGCGTACATGGGCCACTTCAAAATTCTCACCCCGCCGTCGAGTCCGCACGTGTACAACGGGCTGCACCAACCCCAACCCCAGCGGCCCTATCCGACCCCGCAGGCGGCCACCCCTGCCGGAGCCGCCCCGCCGAAGACTCGGCGCCGACGCAACTGGAGTCGGAGGAAGGTGGTCGTCCACACGTGCACCCACCCTGGCTGCAGCAAAACCTACACCAAGTCGTCGCACCTCAAGGCCCACCTGAGAACGCACACGGGCGAAAAACCCTACGTGTGCAACTGGAAGGGCTGCTCTTGGCGGTTCGCCAGGTCCGACGAGCTCACCAGGCACTACAGGAAGCACACCGGCGACCGACCCTTCCAGTGCAGACTCTGTGAAAGGGCCTTCTCCAGGTCGGACCATCTGTCGCTGCACATGAAGAGGCACATGGCTATGTAAAAAGAAGTACATTATCAAAGGAGGATATTTTCCTTTTGTTTAAATCCTAGTCACTTTGAAAACAAATCGGATTTGCATTTTATTTTTATTTTTTAATCAAATAATTATTCATTCTGCTCGGCAGAGGAACTGCACATTATCATTATTTATCGCCACTAACATATTGTAATTTATGAATATATTTTTAAGTGAAAACACCGTTTAATGTTCGACGAATTATAGGTTTTAAGCCACAACGACTGTTTGTAAATAAAAATATAGGTTGACAGCCTGGAGGCTGGTGATTTTAAAAACAAAAAGTTTTTTACTCTGTAAGATTTGCGAAATTTTATAAAAATGAGGAAAATTGTATTTTAGTTTTATCTTGGAATTTAACATTATTTTTATAAATGTTTTGCAACGCTGTTCTGACAATAAATAAATGTTTTTAATTCACGAAATGTTGACATATATTATTTACTTTTCCCTTCTGCACAAATAAATACGCTGCCATATGCAAAAGGAAGTTAAAACCTTGCAATAAAAAGTGATTGATGGAAATGTTTACGGCAAAGAACTTTCAGGTCGGGGGAATAAAGCAAGAAATTTAAATATAAAAAAGTCCATAAAAACGTCGGGGAAACAATCGGCTTTTACATTACGAAAGTCCATTTGGCGAGAGCGTAATGCACTTTGCGGCAGAAATGAAAGGATATCAATCGTGGGGCATTACACGCTTTGAAATTATGCCGATCGATTGATTCCTGATGATCATGGAGTTTTTAATGAAATATACTGGCCGTGCCATAAATAAAATGCGCAGTGCGAGTCGGAATAAAAGGCACAAACGTGATGATGGAGTTCATTTCCATAATGATACGCCTCGCAATCGAGTCCACTTTGAAGCGTAAATTAATGCAAAATAGAGATGGAGAGGCGCACAAGCGCATTTTGATTGGCACGCGATAAGTAATGTGCATAACTTAGCATTGCATTATTTTTTTGAATTGCAATTAAATTTTTAATTTAAAGAGAAAAATACAATTCCTGTTGAAAATTAAAGAACACCTAAAGAAAGTGGTTTTGCAAGAAAAATCAACCGTTGAAAAAAAAATTCCGGACTTTTACCTAAATTTTAATTTTATATTCTGCTGTTTTTGAAATAAAATTAAAGACTGCAAGTTAAAGAAAGCAGGTATTGAATGAAAATCCCTATGGCCAAATGGAACGATTTGCTAAGAGCTCTCCATAAATCACGTACACAACTTTTCAATTTCCCGCCGAGACAAAGTGCATTTTGCGAGAAAAGTGTGTGCAATTACCGCGTGCCTCACACCAAATAAATAACTCAGACACCTCTTTTTCTCCAACTCTTGAGAGTGCGAAAACTAAATACAAAACTCGAGGCCAATTTTCTCACCCTTGTCACTCCAGATTGAAACGAAAATTTATTTGCCACAGTTTTCACGAGGAAAATTACACACGCAGTGCGCTATGATAAGTTAATATTACAAAAGTTCAAAGTGAAAAAAAGGCAGCGTGGGCCTTTGATAATAATATATAATAATCTTGATGTGGGAGTATTTGCGGGATTACTCGCCGTGTCTATAGAGCAAGGCATATAATTATATCTGCTGGCCGACCTCTACGAGATTCGTGTGGTGCTTCTTTTTCTACTCCGCAGTGCTGTCACCCCTTTTATAGCGAAAGCCGGGGATTTTTATTTATTATACCCGGAGCTCGTGCATACTAACGGCCGGTATGGCTCTCTGCGCTCGTATGTGTGCGTCGACGGGATTACATTATGTATGCTGTTTCTAATTTGAATGAGTCGTAAACACGCGGTGCGTCAGGCGACTTACGCAAAAGGCGGCGATCAGACTGATGATCTTGGCGCGATTCCTCCGCAATCTCATTGAGAAGAGCAATAAAAATCCAAAACGGTATGCAAGTCATCTGTTTGATTGAGGAGGTGCAAATATTTAAAATAAAATTCAAAGAATTCACTTTTAAAAAATAACAAAATCAAATAAAATTATTTAAAAAAAATAAAAAAGTGAAGGATTGGTTTTTTTAATAACATAGCTTATTAAATTATAATATTAAATTTTCACAATAATAATAATATTCGAAAAAATATTTGTTAAAATAATTTGTTCAAATTTCTTTGTTGTACAATTACCTAGATTGTAAGTGTTTGTTTTGAAATTATGAATGTTTGTTTCATTATCAATGCGAATATTTAAGTTTCATCATATTATTTTTTAATAGAAATTAAACGAAGAGTTCAGAAAGTGATCAAAAGGAACTAATTTCCACTAAACACGTTCAAAATTCTGAAGTTTAAACTTTTAAAAAGAGATATATCTCAATCCTCTCAAATCAGAAATAAAATATCATTATATCTATATTTTTCATCATTTTTTATATTTCTATTAAAACTTCCAAATATAAAAATGTAATGGAACTATAACTGAATAATATTAATTTCAGAAGAACTTTAATTCTGTGTTTTGAATTGAATTTAAATTTTGAATTGATAAGTAGAGTGCTGAAATTTTGGCATTAAAATTCCATTCAAAATGCATTGATTTATGTTGCTAAGTTTCAGAACGTTTACTTCAAGATAAATATCACAAACAATCATTCCTGTTTGTAGGTCATGAGAGATAATCAATTTGCCAAAAATCAGCCATAAAAATGTTCTGATTCTCTTTCTCTCTCCATTCATTTAAAAAGTAAACTGAAAACACACGGCAATCCATGTCAGTCATTAGAGTTCAATATATTAATGTTTTATTTTCGCATCATGTGTAGATTTTCGCAGCTGATTTGGAATTAGTTTCCCACAGGTGAACCACCCAGCGATGTGGGTGAAGAGGCCCGAGGGGAGGAATTTTTATTGAAGGCTTGATTTGAGGTGGTCCGCGCAGAGATCGAGCAGTTTGTTATATCGCTGGAGCTGGAATTTCGCACCTTTTTGTGCAGGTCGTCGGCTCGCGGTTAAAGTACATACAACGAAAAAAATAGGTATAGAGAAATTCTTCACTGATACTTGCGAGTTTGAGCGAAAGTCGTAAAGAGCAGAAATGTGTGGTGATATTCATTTTTAATTTGATAATAAAATATTGTTAGTTAAATTCCAAAAAAAAATTGGCAGTTTTTCTCTGAAGGTTGATTGAATTTGAAGGACTGCTTTGATATTCTGGTGAAAGTCTTTTTTTATTCATTTTCTATATCTTTTTGGTTTGTGTGTGTCAATGGGAGTTGTTTAAAAAATAATATGTATTTTCAATTGTGGACTATCTTTTTGGTTTGGTAACCTTGAGATGGATAGAAATAATAAATTTTTAAATAAAATAATTGAAGAAATTATTTTATTGTAATTTTTTCATTGAATTGAATTAATTTAAATTGGGAATTTTTTTTGTTTGTGTTTGAAGTTAATTGTTTTTAATTTGGAATTTTTAATTTTAATTTCTTTTATGTAATTAAATTGAATCAATTTTATTAATTTATATTCGAGTAAAATGTTTGGTCTCAACCTTTAAATTCCTGAGCTATTTTGATATTTTTATCAAAATTTATAATTTTTAAAGAATGAAGTTTTTAAAGCCTATGGCTATAAAATAGACTGCAGGTTTTACAAATTCAACTAGAAACTTAGAGAAAATTCTCTTGTTTAATTGTCGTTTGAGTGAATTTTATTTTATTTTAATACAAATTAGTGCCTGTTTGATTTTTTCACTCTACCTTTTAAAACAATTTTTTATTTATAGAATTACTCGTCGACCTTTTTTTGGAACCAGTATATTGAACCTTATGCAAGAAGTCAATTTTTCACTCGCATAACATGAGCAAAATACCATCCTAATCTCTTTTCAGGCGCAGAGAAAAAATATGAAAAATTGATTTCGTGAACGCTTTGCTTGGCTCGAAGCACGCACGCATATAATGTATACGAAATAGGAGCAGCGCAAGCGAGAAAAAATAGCGCATTAACATTCAAGAGTGCTAAATTGGCTGCACCCATTTTGCCGGCGAACCAACCAGCGAGCGAGTCCGAGACCAGTCGTCGCGCACTTTTCACGCTAATGAATTAAATGAATGAATCAAGTCGAGGCGCGATGTAAATAGCCGAGAAAATCATGCAAGAGCGCCTCAAAGTGTTGTCCCCCATGTTCTCTCGGCTGTACATATACAAAAGGAAAGCAGGCGCTCGCTTGACCATGCGAGAGAGGGAATTATAAGAGAAGTAATAACGAAACTTAAAAGCGCAGACCACACATACAGGAATTAACATCGGTTGTCCCTGTCCCTTTCGCACACTAGCATACTCTCCGCCGAGTGAGAAAAAAAAATGCAAAAAAATAAAATAAGGAAAATTGTAAGTAAGCAACTGCTCTCTCTCTATATATTCATTTCTGTTTAAGGGTTGGGTTTGGTGTATATATTATTATGCATGAATAACTCCTCTTTCTTTTAACAACGTGTTACACGCTTGTGTGTATTCAATAATTAATTTTGCATGAACGCTGGCGTGCGGTTGCGGAGCCGGGAAAGAGCTGCCTTATTTTAATAGGCACTTCTCTCCGTATAATAATTTATTATTGACTTTTCTGGACGATTCGCCCGAGATTTTATCGCCGACAGCATTGAGTTTCAGATTTTCCACTCGCCTCAATCTCTTCTAATTGATAAAGTGCTTCGATGGACTTGTAACACCTACGCCGCACGCGGCCATGATTCAGCTGATGGCACGTGAGAGAGCAAGAGAGCTGCAAAAATGTATCTCCAGGCAGAGTTGGCCAACGGTCATTAAATGTTCCAAAAGGATTTGCACTTAAAGTTGAATTTTATTGAAAGCAAGAATTGAAGAGCATCCAATTTAATCATGAATTCGAACAAATTGTTTAAAATTTTAGGAAAAGTCAGGGAATCAATAAATAACTTTTGACATTTGAAGTAAATTAGATTTGCTGTTATTTATTTTAGATGCAAATATTATCTAGATTTATTGGTTTTTCGTTTTGTCTTTTTTTTTTTTGCAAATTCGATTAAAAACATGAATTAATTGCCATTATTATTTTGGTGAAATTGTATATATCTATTATTTGCCCAATGTAATGGAAAATAAAATTACCAACAATTAAAAAATTGATTTTTCAAGCCGTCCAACTTTTAGGCAAAAAATGATTAAATAAATCAATGTCAATTACCTGCTTTTAAAATTTCACCTCTCATGATCTTTCTTTCTCTACACATGATACACATCCAAATTTGAACAGGTGCTTGCAATAAAATTCAAATTTTATGGCCACCGCAACAAATATGTTCCAATCACTTAATTTGAAACGAACGCAAGTCAATTGATTAGGAGAACTTTATAAGCGACTAACAAGCTGCGGAGAATTATCGACAGTTATAGGGCTTCCCTCTCTCTATCTTTCTTCGC